TCAAGATATCAAAAAATAAACTTACCCTCTTTTCTCCTTCCTTCTTTCCCTTCTCCTTCCCTCCTTCCCTTCCTTTTATTACTCTCTTTCTGTGGTTACCTACTATTGCCAGGTACAATACTAGGGAATTGGTATGCAATCATGAGTTAGATAGTTATAATACTTACCCTCGTGCAACTTACAAACTAGCTATTAGATACATTTAACAAATGAATTACAGAAATAATTTTATCAAAGTAGAGCTGATAAGTGTGATGAAAGAAAGCTCAGAATTCAATATAAATAAATAATGTGCAGATAAGATAAAACCTGACTCAGTCTGAGGAGTGCCAACTCACAGTCTGGGAAGGGTGAAGTGGGGTGAGGAGTTTTCTGAGTAGAGCTAGCATAGTTATGCCCAGACTAATGCATCTTTTTTTAAAAAATCTGTTTCTTTCCAAACACAATCATCCTCCTAGTCACCCAAGCTTAAAATCTTCACATTATTTTTGACATTTTATTCACTTTTGCTTCAACAAATAATCAGCTGCCCAACTGTCTTGATTCAGCATGTTCTTTCCTCTGTTCACATGAATGCCTGAATTCCTATTCTCACGACAGTAGTTATATCCTTTTTTCACCATTTTCCTACAGCTGCATTTTTTCTTTCACTCAACACATATTTAGGAGCACTTCCTGTGTACCTGGACTGTTAGTGCCAGTATTACAGAATTGAAAACAATAAACATGGCTGTCACAAAGCCTACAAATCTAATAGAATGCTGTAGATTCAATGCTGTAATCAAGTAGGGACAGTGTGCTAAGCCACAGTGAAGGCTTCCTCCTCCTAGAGAAAGAGAGATTTAGACTGAAGCCTGAAAGGTGAATAGAAGTACACCAGCTACAGATGAGACAGTTGGATTGTATAAGGAACATGCAGTTAGAAGGGACAGCATATGCAAGGATTGAAAGATTTGGGTAGGTGGAAAGTAATGAGATAATAGAACTAAGCTGGTATCTAGCATCGTAAATAATTTAGACTTTTGGGGCAGCTGGATGGCTCAGTTGGTTAAGTGTCCAACTCTTGATTTTGGCGCTGATCTCTGGGCCCTGAAGATCAAGCCCAAAGTTGGGCTCTGCACTCAGTGTGGAGTCTGCTGGGGATTCTCTCTTCTCCCTCTCCCTTCCCCCTACTCCTCCCCCTGCTTGTTTGAGCACGTTTGTGCACATGTGCATGCTTGCACACTCTCTCTCAAATCAATAAAATATTTTTTAAAAAATAATAATTTAGATTTTTGCATAAGAGCCCTGGGGGCCACTGAAAGGTTCTACAAGGAGAGTTAATGTAGCAGAAGCATTTAGGGCCTAGAGTAAAGGGGGGATGCTGAAATAAGACCTAAGAAAAGGGAAAAGTTTGATAAAGAAGATGAATTTGTTTTGTTTTGTTTTATTTTTACTTGATTTCCCCCAACTGGCCTTCTCACTTTCAATATCTTCCCCTTCCATTAGCATCCAGTGCTCTTGCATGATGCTGCCAGACTAACTCCCTGGAATACACTTCTGATCACAATTTAAAGAAGTTTAATGACATGTCTGATCATGGAATAAAATCTGAATTCCTCACCCTTTTATTCAAAGCTTACAATGAACTGGTCCCATCTCTGTTTTAAAGCTTAATTTTTAGCACTCCCCTTTATGTCTTCCTGTCCATAACCATACACTCCACACTCTTGAAGCTTTCCCACAAGCATGCCTTTATCTTAGGTTCCCTCCTCCTTTCCTGTTTGCTTACATACTAAAACCTTGTCCTCCTTCAGGTTCCTACTCAAATGTGAACCCTCCTACGATAACTTTACTTGTTTCCACTGAGAGCAATTCCTCTTTTCTCTGAATCCTCAATATGATTCAGTTCACATTATAATAGTATTTGTCACCTCCTCCATGTGGTAGAACTGTTTAGAGAAGCAAGACATGAACTCTGGAATTCAACTGTCTGGATTCAGATCCTAGCCCTGACATTTCCTAGCTGTGTGATGTTAAGCGCATCTCTTAAATTCTCTGTGTGTCATTCCTCCTTTGTAAAATAAACATTCCTTCTGTGTAAGGCACTGTGGGGATTAAGCAAGTAAATACTGTAAAAATGCTTAATTTTGTATTTAGCAATAGTATAATATAAATATTTGGTATGATCATGCCATTATTTTTATCATGTACATGGAGCATCCACTCTTCTAAACTATAACTTGAGGACCTAGTCCACAGCTGATTTATTTTAATGACTTCTAAATTGCAGACTAACTAAATAGTGAATGAGTGAATCAGTAATTAGACTTTTCACATAGTTTATTTTGAAGGTAACATTTTCTTTGTTAAATTAGCTAAAATAGATCATTGATCAAATATTTAATATATTTACATTTTTTGTGTGTGGAGCACACAGAATATATGGAGAAGCATGCCTTCTTTGGTTTTACATTGATTCAGGGGGGATACCCATATAGTTAAGTATGGTATAAGATAAAGTTAAAAAGTGCATAGTCAAAAAGTGATTATGGGAATTCAAAGGTAGGAGCTGGAACAATCAGAAAAGAATTCACTGAGATAGGATATAATTATACTAATTGTGAGAATGGTAACTTTTAGAACAAAGTATACATAAATCAACTCTCCTAATATGTTAGACAAAATTTATTGGATGCCCAATGTACCAGGCACTATATTTACCAATTCAAACTTCAAAACAGTCTCATCTGGAAGTGTTAGGATTGTGTTCATTGTAAAGATGGGAAAACTGAGGAAGAGCAAGGCAATGTTAAGTAATTCGTCAATGTTAGTAAAGAACAGACCTAAGATTGGAACCCAGAGAGACTAGATGCAGAACCTGGATTCTCCCATCACCACACTCCAAAATTAGGAGTTCTACTTCACTATTTGCTGAACTCTTTCTAATAATATATTTTATTAAGTTCACTGGAATTTCATTTTCTATTATTTTTTAAGCTATACCTCGTCCATGGATGTTAAAAGAAATTGACTATTATTCTTTCATTTATTTCTGACTGCCTCAATCTTTCATATACAGTAACAAGTCTTCAAATTTTTCATCTGTGAAATAGAAGCTTGAAGCTCTAACAGTAGTTCCTTCAAGAGCAATTATTTCCTCCAAAATAAAAAAATTATGCAGACTTCTATCTTACATTGTTCACCTTTGCTTATTCATGTCCTTAATCATTGTTCAGTGTGCAATGGAAAACTTTGCAATAAGTCACAGGATTTTGTAGCTTCCAGGAATCCACTGTGCTAGAATAATCTCTAAATCCATTTCTAGTGGAAATACGTGAGATTTTGTATATTCTACACTTTAGGTCCCTCTTGTACTAGTTTCTATTCTGTCATTTCTCTCTGCCATGAGAAGAAACACATATCCCCTGATCCTTTAATCTTCTACCAAGTTTTCTTCATTTGTTCTTTTTTCCCCCTAAACTTACCCTTCTTCCTTCAGCTCAGATTCCTTACTAAACAATACAGCTTATTTTTTAGAGCTTTTAATTACTGCCAGACCCTCGTGTAAAGGAACTATTTCCAAAATATATGAGCTAAAACTTAAAACACACATTGACAGAATTTCAGCTTGTTTTGTGAAAATAGCAAATAAAGGAAATGGTTTTTATATCAATTTTTGGATGACTCCCAGCACTTTCCTGATAGATTGAACTTTAAAATCACATCTTTATCTGCATCTTCAGCATAGATCTAGAGAATTAGAAAACTAAGGACAAATACCACATATACACAAAGCAACATTATCTCTTGGCCACACATATAAGGTAAAAACCTTCCTTTGGTTTCTTCTTAATATCAACCTTTTTCCCACTCCTTGAGAATTTAATTCTAATGGTATTGGAAGTACTTAGCTTAATATCTTTTTACAGTAGAACTATTTGAGAAATACCATCAGAGAGCTATAGGTAATGTTATTCTTGGCACTTTTGGAGGGTGGGGCTCCATTTGTAAGTTACCAGCAAGAAAACGTCAGCACCCATCCCATTTCCCCCAGCTGTGCTTTATGTTTACTAATATTTATATCTTTGAGATTTTAAAAAAACTAAAATAACACTCAGGATTTTAGGAGTGAGTGTATTTTTCTGTTATGAAGACCTTGTTTTCAGCAAAACCAGTTCAGGCCTGCTGCTCTAGCATAAGAGTATATAAGTCTACATTCTTGAACAGCATTTATTTAGATTTCTTAAGCAGGGCCAAGCCAATTCCTATTCTATGAGGGCTTGTTCAAAACCACCAGTAGCATGTGAAAGGTAATACATACAGTTCATTGCACATGCCTTTTGACTGCCCTCCACCTGCCCCACACACACACAACCCACTCCAGAATTGATCACTTGTTCCTTTGTGCCCACTGAACCTGCACAGATGTTATCACAGCACTTGTGCTATTTTAATGCAGCTCCTTGTTTACAGGTCTCTCTTCTCTTTCTTATTGGCCTTTGTATCTACAGCATGTAGTATAGTATCTGGCTCATGGTAAATGCTTCATTAATATTTGCTTCGTGATAACTCTGGAGTGAGAAGAATTAGTGAAGCAGTTGAGCCAGGTACTAAGTAGATTGATTGGGGAGTACAATGCAGGATAATATTCCCAGGACTGGTTCAGACAGGGGAAAGATACTACTAGAAATGTGGAGGTAGGAATCAGCAAGGCTCCAGTGAGTATGACAATGGAGGGCAGCCTGGCCGGCCCACCTGGGAAGATAAAGAGAGTGCCAAAGGCTAAGAGACAATTCATAGAAACTCCTGAAAGTTAGAAGTAAAGAACTTAGGTTTGATTTGAAAGCAATAGACTCTGTAGTCTTTTGATTTAGACAATGAATGATAAAAAATATATTTTAAAGTTTTATTCAAAAGGATGTGTGCTTATGTCAAAATTCCTATGTGAAATTTTGATTTTAGTCTGTGGGTCATCAGCTGATCCTGAAGGTCTCTTTCTTTCTGTTCTCATCCCACAGGTTGTTATTTTGTATTTTGAGCCAAGCACGTTTCGCTGTATTCTCCTAAGATGGGTCCGTCTTCTCGGTTTTGCTACTGTTTACGGAACTGTCACTCTCAAGCTTCACAGGTATATTGTATTTCATTAGTTTTCATTCCCAGGGGAAGATCAAAGTGTTTGGCTTAGCATGTAATTACAAGCTGGGTCAGCCACTTAAATGGTGTAATTTCGCGAATTTAGACAGCAAGACAATACGTATTCTTTTTCATTTTCAAGGCAGTATCATTAGGATTATCTAGGAAAATCTTTAATACAACTGAATTTGAACAATATGCTTTAATAAAATGTGCCATTGGGTATGGAAAATTTAATTCTGAATAAAAAATAGTCTAGAATAAATGCAAGACAATACTGACTAGCTAAGAACAGGAACACCGTTGAAATAATAATCCAAGTCCAGAGCACCCAAAGAATCCTTATATAGTAGAATTTAGCCGTATGTTGACTTGACAGAAGCTACTGTTCTTCATTCATAAATTACATGCCCCAGGATAATCCTGCTGATGTTCAATGGGTGAAGTTCAAAAAACAGTGTTTTTGACTGTCCTCTTCAACCAACATGCTTTAATGATTATCAACCTTATAAATTAGAGGATGAATAAGTCCCCTTATACTTTCAAAACTCCCTACTTTTCTTAATGTATATGATACACATAAAGAAGAAAGAGGCATATAGTATATTACTTATCCATAAAGGGCTTTCCCTTGTCTCCTCTTTCCAAGCTTTCTCAGTACAGTGGTGCCAAAGACCACTGGAGAGAGAGCATAATTTCTCCCTGACAATAAAACTGCATCTTTGTAAAGGAAACCCTTTATGCTGATTAGCTTTAAAGCTGTTTTCATAACCATAGTAAGCCATTCATATTTCCATGCTAATGTGATCATAAGTGCTTCTCAATAAAAGTATTTTAATATGGCTCAGACACAGTTTATCTTAGAGCCATAATATGTGTTATATTTGTCTTTAAATATTCCCCTTTCAATCTTCCTTAAAATGTGATCATTGTGCTATCTACTACATAAGAATCTCCATTTATTTTCAAGTTCTTGTTTTGTTTTGTTTTTTTGTTTCATTGGTACTTATTTACTGGAAATGCTCCAGAGTATGTTCTTAAATAAATGTAAATAACCTTAACTCTCAAGATTCCTTTCTTATATATGTCCTATAGTACAAAGAACATTGGACTGGATTTCAGGAGATCCAGCTTAAATCTCATTTTAGCCTCTGACTCTAGGAAATCCTAGGCTTCTACTTCCTACAAAAGGAAAGGATTAGGCTAATCTCTAATATTCTTTCTGACATTCTTTTTATTCCATATCACAGCACACTTTGCTATTCTGTCCTTGTAGTCTTCGAGTATCTTCCGGTTTCCATTCCTTATATGATAGCTATTTTCAACTGATGCTCACCAAAAGGAAATGAATAATCTTTGGCAACCTATAAGAGACTATAAGCCTTCTAGAAATCCTGAGAGAATGGGTGACCTCTTGAGATTTAAAAATGATCTCTTTCCCTATGAGTCTAGCACTTAACATCTCTTGGGGCCTCTATTATATAATACAGTTTGTTTATTTAATTACCTTCTTCATTTTTACCTAATTTACTTTCTCTTTGAAATGAGGATCTTACCATTGAATCCCCAGCTCTCAGCACAATGGCTGATACACAGGAGGTGTTTAGTACATATTAGTCAATGATTTAATGAATAAAAATGTCAGATGCAGACTTGGAAGCTGCTTCCAACAGTTCTCTCCACACATAATGCATTCACAGTCCCCTGACTTACTACATGTCCCCACATGTCTAGAACATATAACTCTGTGGTCTGCAAGAGGCTGTTTGGTGGGGAATGCAAACACAGTATTAAATAGCACTGAATCATGTAATGAGAAAATTACTTCCATTCAGATGCTCTTTTACATCCTTCTGATTATTTCCAAGAGAAAAATCAATGTGGAACTAGTAGGTCTCTAACATTTGCTAAACACTTGTTAATCTCTTTTTGCAACAAAGAGCAGATCAAGCTGCAGGCTTTCCACTGCAATGCTACTTAGATATAACTTATTGACCATCTCACTGTATTTCTATAGTTACTTTCTATTTCTGGATTATCAGTTTTTCATTTAAAGTAGCAATGTAAAGTTTCCTTTAAAATATGTTTAGCAATAAATTATTTAGCAATAAATAGAAATTGATTTAAAGAATATATAGCTACTACACAGACCCAGGAAGAAATCTTGACTATGGTATGCAAACAATTGGAATTTGAGAAATTAGATTAGTCCATCATTCTTCTCTTTATTTTAAAGACTGGACTTAAAGCTACTTCTGTTTATGTGTCTTTAGAAGTTATTGTAGTGAAGAGTTACCACTGAAGGCTTAAATCAAGTAGAAACTGTTGCTAACGTAATGAGCTGAATTACTCTTCTGAACCATATAGCTTTATACTATATTCTGGCTTTTTTCAAATTGCTCAAATTTAAACAATTCCAATATTGCTTAAGTCTATAAAACTAAACAATTAGCATCCCAGAGAAATGTGAACAACCCAGTGGAAGTGACTGGCTGAACCAGTTTTATATTCCTCATTCTTCGTTGTGCATCTTGCCCATATTTATACATTTAGATATTTGTTAAGTGAATGAATGGATGGATGGTTAGAGTGAATGTAAGCTGCCAAGGGTGTCTTGGTTGATATTTTTTTAGATTCAAGCAACATGTGGCCCTGACGAAAGGACTTTTAAGATTTTATCATAACATGATAAAGCGGAAAGACAGAAAGGGGTGCCTGGGTGGCTCAGTTGGTTAAGTATCTGCCTTTGGCTCAGGTCATGATCTCAGGGTCATAGGATCAAGCCCGACGTGGGGCTCTCTGCTCCATGGAAAGTCTGTTGCTTCCTCTCCCTCTTCCTCTGCTGCCCCTTCCCCTGAGCTCATGCACTCTCACTCACTCCCTCTCTATCTCAAATAAATAAATAAATAATATTTTAAAAAATTAAAATACCTCTATTTTAAAGAGGAAAGACATAAATCCAACAAATCCAAATTCAAAATTTTAGTTCTGCTATTAACTATTTATACAGCAAGAATAAATTATTTTAACAAATGAAAATCAATTTTCTCACCAGACCTATAAAGCTGTTATAAAGCTAAACAGGACTGGAATATATGTAAATATATCAAGGGGATATGGCTACTATGGCTGAATTAAGCAATAAGGAAATTCATTGGGAGGATATGGAGAAAGGCACAGAACTAGGCTCTAGAGAACCTGACCCAAATAGATTGAGGGATCAAGATAGCATGGTGAATGCCATATATCATTTCCATAGATACTTCATTTTTTTATTTCAATATTTTTTTTTCAAAATTTAAATCCTACCTCTCCAGGCAGAAAATTCTAAGGAAATTATCGGTACAGATACATAAAGTGACTATTAAAGTCCCTTGAGACTAGGATAGGCGAGAAAGACCTGAGTTTTTGTTTTATTTCAGTCACTTTCCTCAAGGTTTAGTAAAATTATGGAACATTTCTTTCTCCATCCCCTGGTTTCTCACTGATTGATTGTAGTATTTACAGAATTCCAGGAGCCTTGAAAACTTGGAGCAAGTATGAAAAAGGAATAGAATATCACAGAAATGATACTATTAGCCTGGGAGGGAACTTAAAGGTTTCATTCACTTTTATCAAATTTTCCACTTTTCAATTTAGCAGTCTTGCCCTACATTTGAGAATCATACAGTCAGAGACTGCCATGCCAATCCCAAGGGAAATTGCAAAAGAGTCTAATCAATTAATGATTAACAGTGCAATATAGGGGTGTAACAAGTTGGAGTCAAGGAGAGAGTGGTTTGCCTCTTCATGGAGGAGTCTTTTACCACCGACATTTAGAATCACTATCGTGTGATGGTGATAAAAAGCAGACCAGCTTTCAGTTGTCTTTATTATTACCCTAAGATCTCTACAGGCAAATGGGTCCCTTTGATACCTAGGGCAAGCCAGTCCCATTGCCCCACCTCACTGACAGCCATTCGTGCAGTGCAATTTATTTGAACCTGAAACTGTTTTGTTCCTTTTTGGAGAAAGAAAGAAGAATGGTATAGGCTTTAGCTTCTTAATATGGACCAAAGGGAAAATGGAGCTGAAGTAGGAAAAAAATGAAGATTCATTTATAAAGAGGAATTTCCTTCAGTAACTGTACATATGTTTGACTTGGGACATGAATGATACAGGACAGATCTAAAAGAACATCTAGTACCTCCATGGTTGTGTGGGTTCACAGAATACTTGCTAAGCTAGGTTTGTTTGTTTTAAGGAAATTGGAAAGGCAATATCTCTAGGTTCAGAAAAGCTATGTTTTTAGGAGGCAAAATGAGGAAATGTTTTAAATGAAAGGAGGTAAAGAGAGATTAAGAAACTTAATGCTGAAAGAACATTTTCCTGTTCCTTGTAATATGGTTTCTGAAAACAAATTGCCTTTTTCCTTTTTCTGAGGCTAATCAAGAAAAATAAACAAAAGACTTTTTTGTACTATATTTAAAATGAATATTAAAGCAAGCTGTGAAAAAGCCTTCTTCTGGCTCTGGACTAGGGATTTTCATTTCATACATTATTCAGTACTCCTTGCTCTAGATACAACACAATACGTAGCAGTTTTCTCTACTATTCTCCTTAGCACCAAATATTTACACTTTGTGAGAAGGTTTTGTATTTTTTTAACTTAATTTTTTGTTGTTGTTCCTAGTAAATTTCAAAAGTGACTGGAAGGTACCTATATTTGTTTACTTATGTATTCTTTATAGGGATACATAAAATACAGTAAGATATCTTAAATTTTTGAAAGACTGAAAGAAAAGCAAGTTAGGACTGTGTAGAGAAGCTAAGAGCTCCTAACAAAATGAAGGTTGCCTTCTTTAGCTTAACTTATGACAACCACTGGCTGGCAGGTAATTTGAGATAGAGACTGAGGCAAATTAGACTATTAGCTACAGAACCATCTGCCTTAACAGACCATTGAGCAAAGTGTTGGTTAGTCTTAATTTATGAAAGCCAGAAAAACAACAACCTTTGTTCTTAGGTGGCTGACCAAAATGCCTATGGGTGTACATGAAATTCTTCCAAAAATCTTGAATTTACCCTAGCTCACAATTGAATGATACTTAATGTCCCAAATCATGACCCAAAGGGTCTGAACATGGAATAGTTTCAAAATGGTTTTAGCCAGCTGCCCACCACAGCCAAAAGAACATATCAATAACATGTCCTTTGAACATGTAGCCTTGGACATTACATTTTGACTAGGAAATGGGAAGAGTTTGCCATATGGATCCTGGTAATGATGGAGACTTCAGGTTCTTCTTTCTGCTAAGCTCACTGTGGTTTATCATCTTTTCTGGTTGCCGCCTCTGGATGTAGAATACCTTCAAGTGGAAAATTACTCACAGTGACATTTCTTAAGAACCATATTGTCCCAGAGAAATGGGACGCATTCATACGTTTCTGAGGAAGCTCTCTTTCCCTGTCAGGGTACTATTTGGACATTGTTAATGAAAAAAAATTATTCTGACACTTGTTAAAGAATGGTAGGACAGACTTTATTCAGGGGCACAACAACATGAGATTTTTCAGCTGGGGAGAGAGATTGGGTTCAATTCAGAATACAAGGAAACGTGGGGATTTACAGTGAAGGAGCAGGGTGTGGTTCATGGATGAAAAACTGCTAAAGAAAGCACCAGAGGCAAAGGAGAATTTCTGGCTAAACCCACTTGACAGGAATCTTACAAAAGACAGGCCAAGGTGGTCTCAGATATCAAGGGTGGGAGATTCTCACTAAGCTGACTAAGTAAGATTCTTGCTACAATTGGGCAATGCGAACACAAGGGAAGTCCAAACGTTGGGCCCAGTGGAGCAGGAGGCTCAGAGGAGCCTGGCTAGCCTGTGATTAAGGAGAGAATCTTTGTCAATAGGAAGCTAAATAAGTTCCAAAGCCAAGGAAAGTTACTTAGCTTCAGAGGCAAATTACAAAATATCAGTCTTACCTCACACACCCACACTTTGCATATACTAGAAAATAACTAGATGCCCTATAGAAAAATGACATACTGGGACAATTTATAAAATAAAGGTTTCAAATTCATGTTTTGGAACTATGATGCTGGCATTTTAAGAGATTTGGGGAAAAACTTAGATTTGTACATAATTTGACTTTGTTTTCCAGTTTCTCAGCTCATTTGGGATATCAAGATTTAAATAATTTCCCTACAGATATTTTTACGATTTTAAATTATTTGCAATGAAACAGGAAAGATCAAAAGTCATTTGGCTTGTAACAATAGAAATTTACTTCATAATTTCATCAATTCAAGAAGCATTGGCATGGAATGCACCATAGTGACTCGTGCTAATACAAAACTATTTATGTGCTATCCTGACTCTAATTAACTTTCAGAAAGTGTGTAGTTACACACCTTAGTTTTGCAGGCACTACATTTCTGTCATTCTGATCATTCATATGCTTGGAAGGGCCTAAAGGATGAGAGGCCCTTGAAAACCTGAGAAATAAGCAAATTGTGCCCTGTCACTTCTTCCTGTGTGCATCTCCCCTTTGTTGGCATTCTCATAATCCATCCCAACATGCCTAAATCCCTAAGTCCGTGGGACTTTGCATAAGGACTAGCCCTTATTAATGGCTCCCCAGAAATCATGAAAATAGAATCTCCTAAGTTCCAATGAATTATTCTTTGATTATAAAATCTCTAACTAGAGCATAAAACAATTCCTGCTCATTCCTCCCCACCCTGCCCCTTTTCATGACTTCACACTGCCTTGTCTAGCTTCCTATAGGATGTCAGCTCAATGACCCTAAATATTGTTAATTATGTTGGCATACTTATCACTTTCAGAAGCTAATTAAGTGTTGCTGGCTTGAATAACTTCATTTATGAATTAATATGTTCAGTTTAATCTACTTATAGGAAGTAAAATATTTTGGGAAATATAAGCATATTGATAAAAGATGTCTTATTAACTAGAGATCTGTACTCATGCAGGACCTTTAAAACATCAATGACTAGCTTTTTAATACAATTAAAAATAAAATCAAAACTCATTTTTTAATTGTTCGACTTTTCAGAATGTATTAAATGTTAGACATGAATAAAATGGGAATATATCTCACTCAGAAAACTAAAGAGACTTAAAGCTTCTTTATTTTGTCTGACGTTGGATGTCCTACTTGGCTGTTTTGTGACACATACTTTTGAAATATACTTTATTTTATAACATCTACATCAAAATTTTTCAATATTAAACTTCTCTTTTAGTTTTTTGCTGTACATATATATACATGCTCTAGTTTCTAATCACAGCATCAACATTTTATGTCAAGATTTCTAGAAATAGGTATGAATTAGAATATATAGTTTAGGGGCTGTGTGGCCCATCAGAAACATGGGATTTTTTTTTATTGCCTGGATTATATGGTTTCAACTTATATATGTATGTATGTAATTGTGTGTGTGTTAATCAACTTTAAAATTATGAATAAAAACCCATCTAGTAATTCAGAATTAGTACTTTTCAAACTATAGTTAATAAATATTTTATCCTACTGTTCTTTGTTAGAAACTAACAAATCTTATAGTGGAAATGTTTCTTTTCCTCAAGTAGACATAAGAAAATAAGTGGGAGGGCAGCCTGAGTGACTCAGCGGTTTAGCGCCGCCTTCAGCCCAGGGCATGATCCTGGGGACCTGGGATTGAGTCCCCTGTCGGGTTCCCTGCATGGAGCCTGCTTCTCTCTCTACCTGTGTCTTTGCCTCTCTCTCTCTCTCTCTTTCTCTCTCTCTCCTTTCTGTCTCTCATGAATAAATAAATAAAATCTTTTAAAAAAAGAAAAGAAGTGGGAAATGAGATTAATTCATTCTGTAGCAGAAAGAAAGGCAGACAGATTTTAAAGGGCCGGTGAAAAATAAATAAATAAATAAATAAATAAATAAATAAATAAATGCCCCAGTAAGTGCTCACTTCAGCAGTGCATATACTAAAATTAGAACAGAGAAAAGATGAGCATGGCCCCTGCACAAAAATGACACAGATTCCTGAAGCATTCCATACTTTTTACTAAAGACCTGCTGTAATAAATATTTTAACTTAAACATAAAAAATAAAGAAAGATATAAATGCCATGGTGAGGCAGTTTGCTCCTGCAAGCCCTTGACTGCTATCACCTTCTGTTATCAGGGCCCAGAGGGGAGGCACTTGGTTTCCATTGTTGTATGGACACACCTGTGTCCTTTTGTTGCACCAGTTCCCCTGGCCTCTGGTTACCCTGCTACCAGTCACCTAGCATTTGCATGTATCCAGTCCAAAATACCTGAGTTGGATTTACATTTTCATTCAGTTTAAAATGATTTCTAATTCGAGTTATTCTTTGACCTGCAGATTATTTAGAAGTGTTATTTACTGTGAAACAAATAAAGACATTAGTGATCAAAAAAACTCCCTCTCCCTTTCACACGCAATGGTTTCACTGATGAATTATACCACTGATTTAAAGAATTAACATTAATTATTTGCACACCATTGTGAAAATAGAAAAGACAACACTTCCTATTCATTCTAAGAGACTAGTATTACCCTGATACCAAAAATAGATAATATATCACAAGAAAACAAAACTGCAGACTAATATCTCATGAATATAGACATAAAACTCTCAGTCCAGACAGAATCCAGTAACCTCCAAAAAGGCTTATACATCATGACCAGGTGGGATTTAGCCTATAAATACAAAAAACAATCAATGTAGTAGAGTATTTTAACATAATAAAGGACAAAACCACATGATCATCTCAACAAATGTAGAAAAACCATTGACAAAAATCTAATATGCTCTCGTGATAAAAAAAAAAAAATCCAGCATGGAATGGAAGGAATGGAATAAAACTTGCTCATTTGATAAAAGTTATCTATGAAAAATCCACAGCTGACATCATACTTAATAACGAAGGACTGAAGTCTTTCCCCCTAAAATTAGGAACAAGATAAGAATGTTTGCTCTTGCTACTATACATTGTCCTGGAAGTTCTCACCTGAACAATTAAGCTCCAAAAAGAAATAAAAGATATCCCGATGGAAGAAAGAAGTAAAACTATTTGCTGATGACATCATGCTCTTCTGTAGAGAACATTCTAAGGAAGCCACCAAGCCACTCTAAGTAATAAACAGGTTTAGCAATAATATTACAGTATACAAAATCAATATGCAAAACTCAGTTGTAGTTTATACACTAGCAACAAGCTAAAGCTGAAGTAAAGAGGATATTTTCACTTACAATAACATGGAAATAAAAATACGTAGGAATAAATTTAACAACAGAACTACTAGAAAGGTGCCCTGAAGACTGCAAAACATGGTGGAATGAAATTAAAGAAGACCTAAAAAAAAAAAAAAAAAAAAAAAGAAAAAGAAAGAAAAAAGAAAGATCCCTTGTTCGTGCTTTGGAAAACTTAGTAATTTCAGATTGATATATTTCCTAAATTGAATCAGCCTAATTCCTATTAAAATCCTAGCTGATTTTTTTTGTAGAAATTGACAAACTGGTTCTAAAATTCCTTTGGCAATGCAAAGGCACCAGGATAGTCAAAACAATCTTAAAAAAAAGAAGATAGTTGGAAAGACTCACACTTTCTAATTTTAAAACTTACTTCAAAGCTACAGCAATCAAAACAGTGTGAGACTAGCATAGGAAGAGACATACAGATCAATGCAGGTTTCTCTAGGCAAAAGAATGAGGTTGGACCTCTAATTCTACACCATATACAAAAATTAATTCCGAATATATCAAAGACCTAAATGTAAGAGCTAAAACTATAAAACTCTTAGAAGGATACATAAATATCCATAGTCTTGGAGAAAAAAACCCAAAGCACAAGCAAAAAGAAGAAGAAAAAAATATAGATACACTGGACTTTATCAAAATAAAAAAACTTTTGTACACCAAAGGATATGATCAAGAAAGTAATAAAATAATGTGGATAGGAGCATGGGCCAAATGAGCACAGGGTAATGGGAAATACAGGCTTCCAGTTATTCAATGAATAAGTTACAAGAATAAAAGGTACAGCATAGGGAATGTATCAATGATACCATAATGGCATTCTATACTGACAGATGGTAGCTACACTTGCAGGAATCATAGCATAATGCGTGAACTTCTCAAATTACTATGTTGTACACCTGAAAGTAATATAATACTGTGTGTCAACTATTCTTCAATAAAAAATAAAATGACAGAATGAAAGTAAAAATCCTATCCTCTCAACTGGTGCAGAAGCAGCATTTGACAAATTCAACATCCATTTATGCTAATAACTCTCAACATTAAGTAGATATAGAGGGAATGTACCTAAGCATAATAAAGGCCACACGTGGTCTCAAGGCCACAGCTAACATTGTACTTGCTGGTAAAAAGCTGAAAGCTTTTTCTCTAGCATCAGGAACAAGACAAGGGTGCCCACTTTTATTTAACATGGTGTTACAAGTCCTAGCTACAACAATTAGGCAAGAAAAATAAAAGGTATCCAAATTGGAAAGGAAGAAGTAAAACTGTCACAACTTGCAGATGATATAATATATACAGAGAATCCTAAAGACACTACCAAAAATCTATTAGAACTAATAAATGAATTCTGTAAAGTTGTAGGATATAAAATCAATATACAAAAATCTATTGTGTTCCTATACACTAATAACAAACTATCATAAAGAAAAATTAAGAAAACACTTCTATTTAAAGTTGCTTCAAAATGGGGATGCCTGGGTGGCTCAGCAGTTGAGCATCTGCCTTTGGCTCAGGATCCGGGATTGAGTCCCATATCGGGCTCCTTGTGAGAAGCCTGCTTCTCCCTCTGCCTGTGTCTCTGCCTCTCTCTCTCTCTCTCTCTCTCTCTCTCTGTATCTCTCATAAATAAATAAATAAATAAATAAATAAATAAATAAATCTTTTTTTTAAAAGACAAACTTGCTTCAGAAAGAATAAAATACCTAGGAATAAATGTAACCAAGAGACCTGTATACTGAAAGCTATAATACATTGATGAGAAAAATTGAAGAAAACACAAATGGAAGGAACAAAGCTGGAGGATTCATGCTCCCTGATTTCAAATGATAGTACAGAGTTATAGCAATCAAAACAGTATGGCATCCATATATAAAACAGACACAAAGGAATGCCTAGGTGGCTCAGTAGGTTGACTCTTGGTCTCAGCTCAGGTCTTAATCATAGGGTTATAATTCAGTCCCTGCATTGGCTCCATACACACACACACACACACACACACACACGCACACACACACACAGATCAGTGGAACAGAAGGCTATCGAGAAGTAAACACATTCATATATGGTGAATTAATTTACAACAAAGGAAGCAAGAATATACAATGGGAAAAGGATAGTCTCTTCAATAAATGGTGCTGGGAAAATTGGACAGCCCCATGCATAAGAATGAAACTGGAGCACTGTCTTACACTATATAAAAAAATTAGCTCAAAATGGATTAAGGATTCGAATATAAGACCTGAAACCATGAAATTCCTAGAAGAAAATATAGGCAGTTCCTTAATATCAGTCTTGGTTTTGAATCTGATTCCAAAAGCAAAGGCAACAGAAGCAAAAATAAAGAAGTGAGACTACATCAAAATAAAAAGCTTGTGCTCAAAAAGGAAACCACCAAAAAAATGAAAAGGCAACCTACCAAATGGGAGAAAATATTTGCAATTCATATATCTGATAAGGAGTTAATATCCAAAATATATAAAGATCTCATAAAACTTTAAATAACAAAAAAATTCTTATTTTAAAATGGGTAGAATAGACAATTTCTAAAGAAGACATGCAAATAGTCAACAGGCACATGAAAAGATGCTCAACATCACTAATCATCAGTGAAATTCAAATCAAAACCACAATGAGATATCATCTCCCACCTGTCAGAATGGCTATTATCAAAAGAACAAGAAATAACGAGTGTTGGCAAGGATATAGAGAAAAGGGAACCCTCTTACACTGTTGTTGGGAATGAAAATTGGTGCAGTCATTATGGAAAACAGTGTGGCAGTTCCTCAAAACATTAAAAATAGAACTACCATATTGTCCAGCAATTTCACTTCTGGGTATTTATCTGAAGAAAACAAAACACAAACTTGAAAAGATATATGTACCCCATGTTCATTGCATCATTATTTACAATAGCCAAGATATGGAAACAACCTAAGTGTCCACTAATGGATGAATGGATAAAAAAGATGTGGTAGATATATACAATGGAATACTATTCAGCCATAAAAAGAATAAAATATTGCCATTGAGACAACATGAATGGACCTGGAGGATATTATGTTAAGTCAAATTAGTCAGAGAAACACCAATACTGTATGATCTCACTTTTATATGTAGAACCTGAAAAACAAACAAACAAAAAAACCAAGCTCACAGATACAGAGAACGGACTGGTGGTTGCTAGAGGGTAGGTATGGGGATGGGCAAATTGGGTGAAAGGAGTCAAATAGTATAAAATAAGTAGAGCATGTGAATATGGTTAATAGTATTATATTGCATATTTAAAAGTTACTAAGAAAGTAGATCTTAAAAATCTTTATTATAAGAAAAAACTTGGTATCTATGTATGGTGACAGATGTTAACTAGACTTATTGTGTTGATCATTTCATAATATACAAATATTGGATCAATTATTATGTTGTATACCTGAAAGTAATATAATGTTATTTGTCAATTATACCTCAATTATTTTTTAAAAAGGAAAAAGGCAAATTACAGACTGGGAGGAAATATTCATTATATATATAAATATTCAAAATACTTTATTCATAACATATAAAGTTCTACAAATTATGAAAAATCAAACAATACAATAAAAATGGGAAATTGAAGAGACACTTCATAAAAGAAGACATACAAATAGCCAATAGCACATAAAAATGTGCTAATTATTATTACTGATTGGAGAGATTAAAATTAAAATCATGGTGAGATATCATTTTATAACCACTAGAGTGGCTACAATTAAAAAGATTAACACCACCAATGTTAGTGA